CCAAAAAAAACAAACTTCCATGACCCGGATCGAACCCACGCTCATAATATAATGTTTGGCTTCAAACGCAGACGCGCTGCTGTCACTTCGGCCATCAGGACTTCCGTTAACGAAAGGTAGATTAAGCTTCAATTTAAATAGCCTAGGCTAACTCACGGCGTTTTATTTAGCACTGGCGCTAATCGCAACGCAGCGTTGCAAATAGGCACTTCCTACTTGGATACATTAAAGTCAAGACTTAGATCTAGATGACTATGGTAGATCTACTACTTTTATTTACGGCTGTTGCTATTCCCAGATTGAGAATATTATCCATTTTTTTCTCACCCAGTCTGAGAATACAGTGGATTTTTATTCTCACCTGGGTGTTGAAAACGGGTAGGCCTAGCCTAAAACATATAATAGGATGATAGAAATTTGAAATAAGAGCTCAGCCTTGACCGTTGGTGACCTGGCCTGGAGCGTCGGGTTATTCGAGACGCACGCCCAGAATGTTTTTGTAACAAGTGTCGTCTTTTTTGACTTGACAGTGTGCGCGCTTACATTCGCCAAAGCTCTAGACAAGTAGATCTATACCTTTCTAAATTCAGAGACTCCAATTTTTTCCCCAACACTTTAGGGAAGATCCTGAGGAAAACTCCGTATTTTTGGTCTGGAAGGGGTTGTCTGGTGTGCACTCGGGAAATTTGGAATTTCTCTCCTTTTTCCTTCTTCTCCAGCTCTCAAAAACAGATCTAGACTCTAGCTTCGTTTCAATCCTTTCTTTTCAATTCTTTCGTTCCAAAGGCTAGAATCTTGTTTGCGAATGTGTCACAATGTAGTGGACTCGGGCGCTCGTCAATTGTTGGGCATGTAAATGTGGAGTGTATCGTCTTAACTCATTCTCTGCACGTTTTTCAACCAGCTTTCACCGGTTTTCTCTGTACATCTGATATACCTATTTTGAAAGATAATAAAAAGTAACACTGAAATATGTTTTTAAAAGATTTTTGATTCGTCAAAGAACATAGTTGATACTTGTCAGAGAATACATCCATCACAGGGGAGCTAATAAAATGATAGACTACATTTCCTACTTTGAATAGATCTAGCTATAAACTATGAAATTTAGATCTATTTTTAAAAAACATTCCTGCACTCATAAAATGGATATTACATTCAATTCCCTGCATATTCCTGCAACAAGTGATGAAATTGTGCAATTCTCGCAGATTTTATTATCAATTCTGTAACATCACTGTGACAATACCAAAAATGAATTAGAATTTGCGCGAGTCACACTTGCATGTCAAAGTCTAGATTTAGATTTAGATCTAGGTATATATGTCATTATCCTCTCGATCTTCACTTCTCTTGGCTTTCTTTCCTTTTCATTTCCCAGCCACTCCCTCCCTTATCTTCAACTATCCTCTTTGCTGTCACTGTAGATTTACATCTACGAATTATGTCTTTCTTTTCACGCCTCTCACTCTCGATTTGATCATCCCCCGATTCAGAATCTAAAGCCAAGTATTCTAGGTTAGTAACAACTCTGTCCTCAAGTTTACAAAGACAAATCCCCTGGTCTGTTTTACAAGAGATATTCCTACGGTGTTATCAACTGCCAGAGCCAGAAACATAGCAAGGACTAGAAGTTATGGGTGTGGTCATCTTCCATCTTTTGGTTTCACAAACACACCACACAAAATACTCCAACATTTTCAACTTTCCACCCACTTACGTGGACACGATATTTCATTGCAGCAAGTTTCTACTTTTGAGATTTTTTATATCAAAACCTAGAATTATGGATCAAGCATTTATGAACTAAATAAAGTTTATGTATAGCCTGTGCCGATGTATCGGTAATGAGCGAAAATGGTGCGGTCGCGCTGCCGATATATCGGTAATGGGCAAAGCATGAGTGAAAGCTTGTTTACTTGTTTTGCTTTCGGTAAAAAAAACTTAACCATAGGCCCTATATATCTATCTGGACTAGAAGTCGAGAGGTGGGGGTCTCATGGTTTCAGAGCAAGAAAATGGCCGTCATAGAGGCAAGAATGACTCAAACACGTCAGGTTCGACAAAAGTGTTCCGCCCATCCATAATGTGAGTTAACTGATTCCAACGAAATAGGAAAGAGATCCGTTTGGGAATGGCAAATTGTTTGAGCTATCCATCTATCCATCATTTGTATTTTTCTCCGTGTCTGTGTTAGGATATAGTGTGCCTGACTGTATTTGAAAGGACTGTTATACGTTGAAGGGGCCAGCGTGCAGACTACGTGTTGTTGAAGGGTCCAGCGTGCAGACTACGTGTCGTTGAAGGGTCCAGCGTGCAGACTACGTGTCGTTGAAGGGGCCAGCGTGCAGACTACGTGTCGTTGAAGGGTCCAGCGTGCAGACTACGTGTCGTTGAAGGGTCCAGCATGCAGACTACGTGTCGTTGAAGGGGCCAGCGTGCAGACTACGTGTCGTTGAAGGGTCCAGCGTGCAGACTACGTGTCGTTGAAGGGGCCAGCGTGCAGACTACGTGTCGTTGTGTTCTTCTGATTGATTTATTACATCTTTTATTCTTTGGAACCATCAGGGAATGGGCAGTCAAGAATTGATCTTTGTTATTTTTATTTATTCAATATTAATATTATTATTATTATTAGGCTTATCATTATTATTATCATCATTATCATCATCATCATCATTAATAGTTTGCCAATCTCCATGCTTCTGTCTTTGAAGGAACAAAGGAACCTTTGATTGTTCTAGTGAAACTGTCAGACAGAGAGATTACTTGGTGAAAATGTCCGTCCCCTCCAGGAAGCATGTCCTCGATCATCTGTCAACTACTGGCTACTGGACAGAGATCTTGTACTGAGCCAAACATTGGGAATATTTCTTTTATTGCAGCTTCTAAATCTGTGGTATAGGTTGCATATGGTCAAGAAATATTTTGTTGAAATTCAAATAGATCATCATTTGCTTGTCTGGCCCTGGATCAGGGTATAGGCCCCGAACAAACACTTTCCTCCTTTCTCTATCCTGGGCTAGTCGTTTGATGTGTCTTCCCACTTTTCTGTGCATCAATTTCTGTGACTCTTCTCCAGGTTCCACGTGGTCTTCCCCTGGATCTTTTACCCTGTGGATTCCAATCAAAAACTTTCTTTGTCCAGCTCCCTGACTTCCTGAGAGTACGTCCAATCCATCGCCAATGCCTTCTTCCAACCTCATCTCTGACTGGGATCTGTCTCATTCTTCCTAACACTTTCTCGTTTGGTGACCCTGTCTGTCCATCTGATCCTCAGTAACTTTCTCAAGTCTGAGATGCGTTCCATGTCTTACATCCGTACAACAGGACTGACTTCACATTTGAGTTGAAGATCCTCAGATTTGTTCGAAGTGAGATATTCCTGGTCCTCCAAATCCTGTTCAAAGATATGAAAGCAGCCTGTGCTTGTCCAATGCGAGACTTTATTTCAGCACCTGTTCTTCCCTCTCTGCCAATGATACTCCCAAGAAAGCAGAAGGATTCAACGTCTTCTAGTGCCTTTCTATCTATTGTGACCTGTTCCTTTCATTGTGCATCTGTCCTTAGGACCTTTGACTTTCCAGGGTGGATCCTCAATCCAACAGACTCTGATAGGCTATTTACTGTTGAGGTCTTTGCTTGCATCTGGCCCTGGGGAAATTGACATTGCTGCTGTGAAATTAATTACCTCCGACATTAATGATTGTCCATAACTCCTGTCATTTTCCCCAGAGACGTATGCAAAAGTAGGTCAGAATGAAATCATCCACGCCAAGCCCGCTGTTGTGCACTTTGAAGGATTTGAAGTCGGAGAAAAGCAGACGAAGCGTCTGGTCCTGCTCAACGCGTCATCGGACGTGCTCCGCATGCACATCATCCCGCCCCAGACCCCTCACTTCTGTGTCAAGTACACCAAGCCCGTGAGTGGGGGGGGGGGGGGGGGGGAATCTGTTGTGGTTTGCTCCTTCTTTCCTATCAAACATCTATCGTCCTGATCTCTCCTCCTTCTTTCCTATCAAACATCTATCGTCCTGATCTCTCCTCCTTCTTTCCTATCAAACATCTATCGTCCTGATCTCTCCACCTTCTTTCTTATCCAACATCTATCGTCCTTATCTCTCCACCTTCTTTCTTATCCAACATCTATCGTCCTTATCTCTCCTCCTTCTTTCCAATCAAACATCTCTCCTCCTTATCTCTCCTCCTTCTTTCCTATCAAACATCTATCGTCCTTATCTCTCCTCCTCCTTTCTTATCAAACATCTTTCGTCCTTATCTCTTCTCCTTCTATCCTATCAAACATCTATCGTCCTTATCTCTTCTCCTTCTTTCCTATCAAACATATGTCGTCCTTATGATCTTTCCTCCTTCTTTCCTATCAAACATCTATCGTTCTTATCTCTCCACCTTCTTTCTTATCCAACATCTATCGTCCTTATCTCTCCTCCTTTTTTCCAATCAAACATCTATTGTCCTTACCTGTGTCCCAAATGGGGAGAAAGTTTTATAGAGAATTTATTGGGTCTTTCAACTGGGATGTTGTATCCTTCTTAGCCGGGGCTGACCTTGACACACTGGGCCAGATGCCCACCTCCGAAATCATCTAAACTGTGTCGGTTTGGGGTGGGGGCGGGGGGATAAAAACCACCTACATGAAAAGCTGATATTTGAAAAGTTGTTGTTTGTGTGTTTGTGGCAGGCACGGATGGTTGCCGGGACGACGTTGGAGTGTTTGGTGGAGTTTGTCCCCGACGAGTGGCGCTACTACTACGACTGCATCAGGATCCACTGCCCGGTACGTACCGTCTCTTGTCTCTCTCAGCCACTGCCCGGTAAGTACCGTCTCTTCTCTCTCTTCTCTCTCTTCTCTCTCTTCTCTCTCTCAGCCACTGCCCGGTACATACCGTCTCTTCTCTCTCTCAGCCACTGCCCGGTACGTACCGTCTCTTCTCTCTCTCAGCCACTGCCCGGTACGTACCGTCTCTTCTCTCTCTCAGCCACTGCCCGGTACGTACCGTCTCT